AATGCTGAAATGTTGCGACTTTCAGGCCTGAGCTACCAAAGTGTACTTCCTTTGCAACACTTCCAGAGTGTACTTCCTTTGCAACACTTGTACTGAAAGGTTGCGACTTTCGATCCGGAGCTGCGAAAGTCTGGGCTGTGCTTTGTATTGTGCTTTTGCGCCTTGGGTTTTGGCTGTCATTTCTTTGGGAACTTTGAGGCTGAACTTGGTGTTTGAGGCTAAGTTTGAAGGTTACCTGGGCACATTGTCCACACTGCGCTATGCCATTGTTTGAGCATATTTGTTCAGCAAGTAAAAGGCAAAGCCGTAAATCATTTGCCATGAATCTGTAAACGAACTAAGCATGACACAAATAATGCGCATGCTGCAAAACAGGGGTTTTGAAATAGTGCTTCAATCTGGCCCAGACTTCACTGGGAGGAGGGGGGACAAGGCGAACCGTAAAATCGGGAAAGTCAGTGTGGGAGGGCCAGAGCCTTCAAACGTGGTGCTTCAACTTGGTGCTTCAAAGGTGGTGAAGGAAAGATGGTGCACAAGCGCCTGTTTAACATGGTACTGTGCAAGCGCCATTCATGCCAAGGTGCTGCAAAAGTGCTTTCAAGGCTCTAAGGCCAATTGCTGCAAAAGTGCAATGCGGCACTGGGTTCTGCAGAAGCGGTGAAACGGCGCTGCAAAAGCGCTGTTCAGATGATGAGGTGCTGAAAAAGTAGCCCAAAAATGGTGCTGCAAAAGCGCTGTTCAGATGATGAGGTGCTGCAAAAGCGTTCAGAAACGGTGCTGCAAAAGCGGTATCAAAGCGCGGTGCTGCAAAAGTGCCCCAAAAAGCTCCGTAAACGCGAGTGCACGGAGCCCTTGACGGTGTCCAGCCCGGAACCTCATTGGGAGAGGGTGCGCATTTTGCTGATGGGATGGGGTACATGTGCGTAAACTTTCCCATTTGGGAGGCGGGGCTTGTTCAGCACAACCCGCCCCGCAATATCAGTTGACCCCGGCTTGGCACCCTAGAACTCCCCAAGCTCAAAATCACAGGTTGGGAATGGTCGTTCACTGGCGCAATAATTATGTTTGACAAGGTTTTATCGGCGCTTGCTCAGCACCAGCCACCCTGCCCAAGCTTAACTGTTGTTTTTGTGTCGTGCCTGTTCCCAGGCAAATTCCGTGCGCCTAAGGAAAGTAACCTTGGGAACCCACCTGCACGCTGAGCCGCGTGTATTGACACCTTTGACCTTTGCAGTTATGCCTTTGGCCTTAAATGCAAAAAATCCGGCCCAAAGACCCCAACAATGCAGAAGGGAGCACCAAACTGCAATGGCTTCAAATTACCAAAATTTCAAGCCTAAATGCCTGAAGGCCCGAGCAAGACAAAAGGCAAAAGGGAACATCAAACTGCAGGAACTGCAGCCCAACTGCTGGCCAAATGGTCTCGAAATGCCAAAATTTCAGGCCCAAAAGCCCCTGCGAAGCAGAAGGGAGCCCCAAACTGAAGGAACTTCAGCCGAACTGCTGGCCAAATGGCTTCAAAATCACATTGTTTCGGGCCCAAAAGCAAGGCAGAGGAACATCAAACTGCAGGAGCTGCAGTCCATCTGCTGGCCAAATGCTTCAAATTACCAAAATGTTTAAGCCTAAAGGCTCCAGCAAGACAAAAGGCAAAAGGGAACATCAAGCTGCAAGAACGCCCAACTGCTGGCCAAATGGCCTCAAAAATGCCAATTTTTCAAAGAGCTTTTTTTGGAGCAAAAAGGCACAATAAAATTCAAGGGCACAAAAAAAGCACACACGATTTTTGGCTGACCCCTGTTGAGGGAGGCGGGGTATTTACCCCGCCCGGCTCAGCAGCCCCACGCGCGCGGGGTTGTTGAGAGGCAAGGGGTAAACCTCCACGAGGCTGTTGAGCCAGGCGGGGAACATACCCCGCCTCCATCAAACAGGGCCAAAACCAGCCTCTCAACAACGGGCTGCTGAGTAAATACCCCGCCTCCCTCAACAGGGGTCCCGGTTTGCTTGACCTTTCTTTGATCACAAAAAACGCGGGCCTGAATTGCGCGCGCTTAGCCCTGAATCGTGCGCGCCTCTCCGTTCTACGGGCGCGTCATGTCAGAGGCCATGCGCACGCACGCTCTCAACCACCGCGCGCGCACGCGCGTTGTACAGATCACACGCATGCGCGCTCAACACACGCGCGCACGTTGCACAAACCACGGGAGCGCGCGCGATTCACAGCCAGGCTGAAGTTCTTTCAGCGTGGTGGTGCTCCCTTCTGCCTCGCTGGGGCTTTGGGCCTGAAAATTTGGTATTTTGAGGCCATTTGGCCAGCAGTTGGGCTGCAGCTCCTGCAGTTTGATGTTCCCTTTGTGTTGCTGCGGCCTTTGAAGTTGAAAAGTTGCAGCTTTAAGGAAATTCGCCCAGCAGCTTGCAGTTTGATGTTCCCTGCTGCCTTGCTGGCTTTGGGCCAGAACATTTCGCAGTTTCAGGCTATTTGGCCAGCAGTTGGGCTGCAGCCTGCAGTTTGGTGTTTTTTCTGCCTTATTGGGGCCTTTCGGCCGGATTTTTTTGCAAGGTGTCCCTTCCTCGCGGCTCAGCGTGCAGGTGGGTTCCCAAGGTTACTTTCCTTAGGCGCACGGAATTTGCCTGGGAACAGGCACGACACAAAAACAACAGTTAAGCTTGGGCAGGGTAGCTGGTGCTGAGCAAGCGCCGATAAAACCTTGTCAAACATAATTATTGCGCCAGTGAACGACCATTCCCCACCTGTGATTTTGAGCTTGGGGAGTTCTAGGGTGCCAAGCCGGGGTCAATTGATATTGCGGGGCGGGTTGTGCTGAACAAGCCCCGCCTGCCAAATGGAAAAGGTTACGCACATGTACCCCATCCCATCCTGAACAGCAAAATGCGTACCCTCTTGCCCACTGCCCTCCGCCACCCAATAGGTTCCGGGCTGGACACTGTCAAGGGCTCCGTGCGCTCGCGTTTACGCAGCGCCGTTTTTGGGGCACTTTCGCAGTTCCTCATCTGCGCAGCGCTTTTGCAGCACCGTTTTTGGGGCACTTTTGCAGCGCCGCGCTTTGATACCGCTTTTGCAGCACCGTCCGTTTCTGGGGCGCTTTGGCAGCACCTCATCATTTGAACAGCGCTTTTGCAGCACCATTTGTGGGCCACTTTTTTTAGCACCTCATCATCTGAACAGCGCTTTTGCAGCGCCGTTTCACCGCTTCTGCAGCACCCAGTCACGCGTTGCACTTTTGCAGCAATTGGCCTTAGAGCCTTGAAAGCGCTTCTGCAGCACCTTGGCATGAATGGCGCTTGCGCAGTACCATGTTAAACAGGCGCTTGTGCACCATCTTTCCTTCACCACCTTTGAAACCACGTTTGAAGGCTCTGGCCCTCCCACACTCACTTTCCCGATTTTACGGTTCGCCTTGTCCCCCCCTCCTCCCAGTGAAGTCTGGGCCAGATTGAAGCACCTTTAAACTCAAGCAGGCCACGGGGATCTTGTCAATCAACATTGGGGCAGAGGCAACAATGGCTCTGGCTTTCCGTCGCCCAACAAATCAAGCAGGCCTTCTGGAAAACACGTGGGCGCTAGTTTTTAGCTTTTTGTGGCGTTTCGTTTCGAAAGCGACATAGCTGTATTTCAAAACCCTTGTTTTGTGTGTCATGTTTTGCTCGTCTACAGGTTCATGGAACATCATGGCACATGATTCATGGCTTTGCGGCTTTCACTTGCTGAACAAATCTGCTCCATGGCGCGGTGTGGGCAATTCACAGCCAACAGGGACACCAGCCGTCGGAAAATTGCACCAAGTTCAGCTTCAAAGTTGCCAAAGAAATTACTCCAGAACCAACAGCCAAAACCCAAGGCACAAAAGCACAACACAAAGCGCAGCCCAGAAGTTTACTTCCTCTGCAACACTTGTACAGAAAAAGTTGCGACTTTCGAGCCGGAGCTGCCACAGTGTACTTGCTTTAGAACACTTGTGCTGAAAAGTTGCGACTTTCGAGCCGGAGCTGCCAAAGTGTACTTCCTTCACAACACTTGTGCTGAAAAGTCGCGACTTTCGAGCCGAAGCTGCCAAAGTGTACTTCCTTTACAACACTTGTACTGAAAAGTTGCGACTTTGGGGCCGGAGCTGCAAAAGTGGACTTGCTTTACAGCACCTGTACTGAAAAGTTGCGACTCTCGAGCCGGAGCTGCCAAAGCTTACTTCCTTTGCAACACTTGTGCAGAAAAAGTTGCGACTTTCGAGCCGGAGCTGCCACAGTGTACTTGCTTTAGAACACTTGTGCTGAAAAGTTGCGACTTTCGAGCCGGAGCTGCCAAAGTGTACTTCCTTCACAACACTTGTGCTGAAAAGTCGCGACTTTCGAGCCGAAGCTGCCAAAGTGTACTTCCTTTACAACACTTGTACTGAAAAGTTGCGACTTTGGGGCCGGAGCTGCAAAAGTGGACTTGCTTTACAGCACCTGTACTGAAAAGTTGCGACTCTCGAGCCGGAGCTGCCAAAGCTTACTTCCTTTGCAACACTTGTGCAGAAAAAGTTGCGACTTTCGAGCCGGAGCTGCCAGCTGCCAAAGTGTACTTCCTTCACAACACTTGTGCTGACAAGTTGCGACTTTGGAGCCGGAGCGGCCAAAGTGTACTTGGCTACACTTGTGCTGAAAGTTGCGACTCTGGCAAAGGGTACTTGGATGTCACGTGAAACGGTGAAATGCGCAAAGCCCTGTAAAACGATAGAGTTACAACAAAAAGATAACCTTTACTCGATGTCCTTTGGCTACACAAGAGGTTTCGCAAGCTGCTCATATGTGTCTCTTTGAAAGGTTTGAAACACCGCCTTCTTGTGCAGAAGCTTGCCTTTGTGATTTGGAGTTGTTTGCATTTACGCTATGCGTAGGACCTTTCCTTCACATGATTCTAAGTTTATTCGCGCGCTTTGAACTCTCAGCCATTGAGGGGCGCCAGACAAATCCTTTGTCTGAGGGTTGCCCGTTCGCTCGAGGAAGCCAACGCGCTTTCCTTCAACGCGGCCATTGTGGCGTGTGCAGAAGGAGGGCTTCGATCCGAACCTTGAGACACTTGAGTTGGCGAGTCGCAAACGATCAAGTCCAACCACCTGTAACGTTGATCTTGAGAACATGTGCCACATATGTGAAGCGTTTGACGTAGACGCCCTCCGCAGCCTTGGATAGATGGATCCCAAACTTTGTACCCCGAGCGCCGAGACTTGTGCCAGGACAAAAGTCTTTCTCCGGGACTGGCTAGCTTCACAATCTGCCTACAGATCGCTGGCCTGCGATACTGCAGGCTGAGAAGCCTGGCTTGAATTGACGATTCCTGCAAGCGTGGCACAGAGGACCCTATGTTTCTATTTGGTTGCCATGCTTGAACCTTCTCAGGCCGACTGACGGCTTACCGGGCTTTCCGTCCTGCCACGCATGGGGCAAACCAATCTGGACATTGCAAGCAGGCCAGTTCCGCACGCGCTCGGGTTCTGTGCCCGATGAGATAACATTGAAGAACAACGTCGATTGTAGGAGCGGCTGGTGTGAACGACCCCGGCTTTGTAAGAGGGGAACGATTTGTCAACTCAATGGAACGCTTCCTTTTGTATGCGGATGCCCTCTTTGGAAAACCTCATTTGGGGGCTTAACTATTCGGAGACTTTGGTGACTGTATCCAGGAATGGACCCTGGGTTCGACAGCTTGCAGGCCCCTTTGAAAAACATGGCAAGAAATCGTCGCATGAGTCATTGACAGTGTTTTTGGTAGTCTGACGTTAGCACCTTCGGGCTGCTTTTGCTGTGAGATTTGGTACGTGTCAGGATGCTTTTTGAGATGGCGCGCGGTTACGGATCGGGTGCGCGCGGAAGTCTGCATTGCGGGCATGACTGCAATTGATCAGCGGCCACAGCCTGCGGTGCTATGGGGTTGTCCGTGTGATTGGCGGGGTTCGCCTATGCACTATGATGCCAGAGGCATGGATCCTATCTGGTGGTCATTGGCGCAGGGCTGGCAGTGAGACCAGCGCAATGTGCTTGACCTCAACACCGCAAAAGACCTCACCCACGGAGCTGGCCATTGCAAAGAGAGTACACTCCTTCGTTGTCGGACCGCGAAGGAGCCACCACACAAGACCACACTCACTACTGACTGATATCGCTGCCACGCAGAGGGACTCCGCGTGGGCAACTTCAGTTGCACGCGCAGCGTTGGCGGGTAGTGTGTTGTGGAGTCGGGTCTCCCTGGCGTTCCCTGGCATCTGCAAAGTGAACCAACCCGATGCGATGGTGGCAGCTACAATTGCCCAATTGCGCTTGTTTCGCGGAACTTTGAGGAGAGTTTGACAAAGTAATTTCCGGTCCCTTGGCACATGGCGGGGCAAGTGGTCCTACCTTTTTGCGCACTAGCTGCACAGTTTCCGCAGGTGTGCCTGGAGGTGAAATCTTTACGCAGTTGCGCTTTCCGTGCGCATGTGCGTTCATGTTTGCCTTCGGGCTGTGGTGCCTTTGGGATGTGATCTGCCAGTGTCAGGTTGGTTTGGGGAGGTCCAAAAAGGAACCGCGACCACCTGTGAGGCAGGTCGGGCATTTGCGCGGGTTTCGAAGGAGGTGTGTTTCTGGCTTATGTCCAGCCCGCACCTGAAAGTGGTGTTGACGCAACAGACGGCCCAGCTGTTGGGACAAGAAACTTTCAAGACAGATGAAGGGCTGGCGGCGGAAACCGGGGAAGATGTGTGTTTTATGAAAGAGGAGTGCGCCTGCTCGCAAATTTTCATGCGGGCGTCTCCAGGTATGTACACACACGTATACACATGAATACACTTCTTATGTTGTCCAAACTTGCTTTGGGAAAGCTGGGATGTCATAGCACCAAGTGCTGGTAGCTCCACACACACACACTCTGGTCGGACTCGGTCTCTCGGTTGAGTGATTGCCTCCGGGACATTTTGGCTCTCGATCACGGATCATCTCATGTAGTTTCTTCCCGAGTAGTATGTCCATGGCCATGGAAGCTGACGGGAAGCCTACGGCAATGGAGCTGGCAACCCGGGGTCCGGGACGGCTGCTCCAAGCGCTGTGTCCCATCGCACTGTATCCGCCCGGGTCCTGCCAGGAACGATCGAAAATAGATTCCCATGCAGGAATCCCTGCATATACGCACGCGTATCCAAAAAAGATAGATTTTCAGATTCCAACAAGCAAACATGTAAACAAAATAGATTCCGTATCTATTTTGGCATCGTATCTCTAAAAAACACCTCGTATTCAAAAAATCGTATCTATTTGCGTATCTATTTGTATCCAACCGTATCTATTTTCAGCGCCGCGTATCTAAACTGCTTCAGAATGTGAGGAGTTGATCTTGCCTTCCAGGGATTGGTTGCTGATGCTGCGCCCGCAACACAAGCCTCGCGCCGGCAGATCGCTGCACCATGGCAATTCGGACTGAGTCGCGCCTGCTGGCAGGATGTATTTGCAGGCGGTGGCGCTATTCGATATCGCGTCAGCTTTGACAAGCTGTGGCCATTGCAGCTGTGACAGGGTTGGTCTGGCCAGCGATGACACAACAAATTCTGATAAAGCTTCCCGGAACTGGCTCAACCCAAGAAGCAGTGACAGACCCGAACACACTAGCAAGTCAACATCCCCGCCCCGATTTTGAACTACATCTATTTGTTTATTTACAGCGTCAAAACTTCTGCAAAGAAAGAAGAACCCCCAGCTCCCAACCGTGCGCTTCTGTTTCGGCAATCACGCATTGCGCTCCAGCACACCTAGCCAAAGAAGCCGAAGCCTAACTTGCAAACGCAGTGAGTGTCCTTTAGGCACGCCCCTCCAGTCTCGCACGAAGCTCCTGGGCGATTTTTTACACGTTGCGCTCCAGCAAGCCTAACAGTTGTGTCTAAAGGACACTCAATGCATTTGCAAGTTATGCTTCGACTTCTTTGGTTAGGTATGCTGGAGCGCAACGTGTAAACATCGCCCAGGAGCTTCGTGCCAGACCAACTTTTGATGGGGACCTGGTTGGAGGGGAGCGTCTACTACAACTACCGTTACCTACCCGTAAGCCGGCATAGGTGCAAACTTGAAAAAGTGCGGGCAACTATACTTTGGATGCCTTCCTACGCAAGGCAAGTGAATGCTGATTGCCAACGCAACAAGGCGAGGTAGCTACCTAACTTACTTGGTGAATCCAAATTGAAAACCGTAAGTTAAGCCACTGAGCTATGTCGACTTTTACCTATCATTTGGCTCATGAGCCAGTTTGGTTGGTCATCTAGCCAATCTGCAAACTAGTCAATCAGTTCGCTCATGCTTGAAGGTCGGCCCTGCGGAAGTTTGCAGAGGGTTCAGCCTTTGATGGTTGCAAAGCAACGCGTGCGGGGGGTCACTGGACCGTTGCCGAAACTGCTCTGAGACCGCTCCGTCGCCGCTTCTGTCAGGCAAAGGTCTGCGCGTGTTCCGAGGAGCCGACTTTACGCGCAAGGCCATGTTTTCCCGCTTGCGTTACCCAGTCCTTTGCCAGCTTTGTCCTTGGACAATATCGACCATGCGGAAGTTTTTGAGCTTTCTTTGAATATTTGCCGTATCTATTTCCCGTATCTATTACCAGTAGAGCCGGCGAAGCCGGTGGGCGGAAGCTTCAAAAATATAAAAACTATAGTTCTCTTTCTCTTTCTTTTCTTGATTCTTGTTCTCCGTCATTCTTCCTTTCTTCCTTTCTTTCCTTCCTTCCTCCCTTCTTTCCTTCTTTCTATCTGTCTTTTCTTTCTTTCTTTCGTTTGCTTGTCTATCTATCTTTCTCTACCTATCTATACCTAACTACCTATCTATCCATCTATCTGCTTATCTATCTATCTATCTCTCTATCTGCTATATATCTACCTATCTCTCTATCTCTTCATCTATCCATCTCTCTATATCCCTCTATCTCTGTCTCTCTCTTTCTCTATCTGTCTATCTATCTATCTCTCTTTCTCTCTTTCTTTCTATCTTTCTATCCCTTTTTTCTTTCTACCTATTTATCTCTATCTCTTTCTCTATCTCTTTTTATCTATCTATCTATCTATCCATCTATCTCCCGCGTATCTATCTATCTATCTGTCTCTCTATCTGTCTATCTCTTTATATATCTATCTCTAGATCTCTCTATGTATCCCTCTGTAAACCTATCTATCTGTTTCTCTATCTCTCTGTCTATCTATCTATCTCTCTATCTCATTATCTCACGTGTATGTATCCATTTCTCTATCTATCTATCATCTATATTTCTAATTATCTAGAGATCTACCCATCTATCCATCTCTCTATCTACCTCTCTATCTCATTCTCTCTACCTATCTATCTATCTATCTAACTATGTATTTCTTTATCTATCTACCTATCTATGTATCTCTCTCTGTCTTTGTTTCTATCTATTTATTTATCTTTCTATCTATCTATCTGTCTCTCTATCTATCTGTTTGTTTACCGTTTATCTATCTACTTATTTATCTTTATCTATCTATCTATCTATCTATCTATCTCTTTTTCTTTTTTGTATATATCTTTCTATTTCTCTCTCTCTCTATCTCTCTCTTTATCTACATATCTCTCTCTATCTATCTATCTATCTCTCTATCTCTTTCTCTCTCTCTTTGTTTATTTATCTATCTATCTTGCTCTCTCTCTATCTATCTATCTATCTATCTATCTATCTATCTCTTGCTCTATCTCTTTCTATCTTAACTTTACGTACTACTTTCGTGCTTGAAAGTTGCGATTTTCGAGCCCCAGCTGCGAAAGTGGACTTCACGTACTACTTTCGTACTTCCAGCTGCGAAAGTGGACTTCACGTACTACTTTCGTACTTAAAAGTTCCGATTTTCGAGCCCCAGCTGCAGAAGTGGACTTCTTTCGTACTTAAAAGTTGCGGTTTGCAAGCGCGAAAGTGCTGCGGCTGCCACGAACTCTGTACTTGACCTTGCGAAAGTGCTGCGCCTGCCACGGATTTTGCACTTGACCTGGCGAAAGTGCTGCACCTGCCACGAACTTTGTACTTGACCTTGCGAAAGTGATGCGCCTGCCACGAATTGTGCGCTTCACTTTGCGAAAGTGCTGCACCTGGCACGAAATATGTGCATGACCTTGTGAAAGTGCTGCGCCTGCCATGAAATCTGTGATTGACCTTGCGAAAGCGCTGCGCCTGCCACAAAATCTGCACCTGAGCTTTCGAAAGTGTTGCGCCTGCCACGAAATCTGCACCTGAGTGTTGCGCCTGCCACGCAATTCAAACCTTGAGAAAAGTTGACCTTGCGAAAGTGCTGCGACTGCCTTGAAATCTGCACCCGACCTCACCAAAATGCTGCGCCTGCCACGCAATTCAATCCTTGCGAAACCTCTGCGTTGCCGTGCCAATGGTCCCGGCGCCGCCCCCGTCACGAGCCCGTCCCGAGCCCGTCCCGCACCCGTCGTCCGTCAGACGCCGCGACTGAGGTAGCTTTCAGCCAGCTCCACACCACCAAACCCGCAGAGATTGCTACTTTTCGTAAATTCTATTCCCCCGCCACACGCACACGCATGTTTTCTCTCGCGCGCCTTTCATTCTTTCTTCTTCCTTCCCTGCACCATCTAGCTTTCAATTAGTTTCCGTAACTCGGAAGTTTCTTTCTAAACTTCCTTTGAATATCTAAAAATATAGCTGGGCGTATCCATTTTCTTGAAATATTTAGAAATGTATTTGTTTTTAATGAAAATGTATTGCGCACGTATCTATTGGTATCTATTTTGCAATTGCCCGTATCTATCCGCATCTTTCCGCATCTATTCTTGCAAAGCAGGGACGTATCTAAGTATCTATTCTGCAACGCTGGTTGGCTGGATTCAGAAAAAGGTGATGGAGAAAGCTGTTTTCACGGAGGTTTTCAAGGTCCTTCACCCAACAGCACACCTGGTGGCCGGCGGACAAGTGGTACTGACCCGCTCAAACTAAAAAAGGGCGGACGTGCTGGTGCGGGCGGCCCCGGATGCGGCCCTCATAAACCTCATTTCTAGCAGGAGGTATGCCGGCCCAGATGCCGGCACTTTGCAGGATCCCACCAAAGACCTCCAGGACACAGACATGTGTGTCATGCAGGCCCATGATGCGAAGAAGGTGCTGCACAGATTGCTGAATCCGCCTTCCGCTTTTTGACAGCAAGACGCCACTGCACTGAATGTGGAGGAGTACCTGAAGAACCTTGGGGGCCACCTAAGAAAGCGATCCAGTTGCAGGCAAGGCAAAGGGTTTGGGGCGCCATTGAGAGAGAAGCTGGAGGCTACGCAGGCCCCCTACATGTGTGGCACGCCGAGGTGCGGGGCCCGCTTCGAGAACGACCGTCGGGTCAGGTGCCTACTGTGTGGCGACCTTGCAGTCCCCCAGCCCCGCGCGCGGTACAGTTCACCGGTGCGAAAAAATGACCCACAGATTTTAGGTGAAGAAGGGGCCTTGACCAATGGCAGGAATGGCAGGAAGACGGTTGTGGCAAACCACATTCTAGAACTGGACCCGTGTAGGGACAGGCTCAACCACGATGTTCTCCTTGGTGGAGCTGGCACTGGAAGGCAATCTCATGGCAATCGTGGGAGGCCCAAATTGTAGCTCCGTTATTTGCCACAGGCCAAAGAAAGCAATGCTGGGTGGTAAGAGGACGAAAAAGGCAGCTGGCGTGGGGTATTCCGGATCTCAGCCAACGGGAGCAGGAGGATGTCGACAATCTCCTGCCTCTCCAAATGATCCTTCTCTACCACATCCCCGTAATGGCGGAATACCCACCTCCGGCCTTTTTCATGGAGCACCCAGAGGACCCAGCGGAGCCTCACACATACACCGGCAGTGTTGCTCATGGTGGGCCACGTCGCCACCGTTGCCTTGTTCCGGCTTGGCATCAACGGCAGCCATAGATGCAGTGATGCTGGAGAATCCCCGGACTTGGTGGCTGGCTTGGTGCTTCACCAAACCCAGACAAGGGTCAGGATTGAAACTTGTGGCCTGGCTGGCACCCTTTTTGGAACACACTCGCCCGTCCAGACCCATCGTGGCAAGCACAAATCACCTGAAGGTCCACATCCCTTTGCGAACTGACAATGAAGGCAATGCCTATGCTGGTTCCAAGCGTGTGGCAAAGAAGTGGCCCTGCTAATGGAGCTCCGCCCAGGAGCAGAAACGGGCGGTCTTCGCGTCATGTCAAGCGATGCTTCAAGGTATGGGCAGATCGGGCTACCCTTTCCTTGCATGAGTCTTGTCCATCAGCTGAACACCCTGTATGTGGACGACCACTGTAGCCGGAGGCGCCCGCCTGCTTTACTGGTGGAACACAACCTTTCCTGGACGTTCAGTCGCTCTACTGAAGCCTGGATTTCTTGACCATGTCAGGGAACCTGGGCTCGTTTTTCTCGTTGGCACTTACTAGATACCCGGACTCTGGCATGGCCATGATCCCAAATGTTTCTTTTAGCTTGGATTTCGGATTCACGGTAATACGCGGGAAAGGGGATATGAAAATACCCTTGATCCGATGAGGGTCGGCAGGAAGCTCACAGCCTGGAGGCTGTGTTCGCAGCTCTGCCCGCCCTCTAGTTTTGGATTTTGCCACTCACGCGGTCTCGGGAAAAAGGGAGTTTGCGGGAGCGCTGCAGACTGCACTGTGACATATATATATATATGTACAGATATGTATATATGTATTGTGTTTCCTAAAAAAAGTTTGTTTCATGAATTGGCTTGCTCTTAGGGATGAGCAAAAGACAAAGGAACGCATAGGCCTTTCACCGCGCAACAACGAGAAAATGATCTTGTGAATTTGCAGGGAGTACGATCCCAATAGTGTACCTTTTTTGGACAGCTTCCATCCAAGTGTGTGCCCCAGAGGTTTGGTTTGTGTCGAGTCTATGGTCCATTTTTGGATCCTATTGCCCATGCGAAATGAGTGCAACCACTGCAATTGAACCACAGCCTGGAGACACAGCCTACTTTCCCCCTTGGCTCAAAGGCATAGCCGCTTGGAGTTGCTTGTGAACCTTGATTCAGATTGGCCAACTTGGTCCGAGATGCAAGCGAACCTTGTCCTGCAGCCACCCCGTTGCCACCAAAGGGTTCCAGGCAACCCAAAACATCATTTCTTTGTAAGCCAGTCGTCAGCGAGGTCCTTCGCCACTCGCTTTGCGTGCTTGGTTGGGCTGGATTTCCCCGCTATCTCCAAAGAACCGCGCTCTGATGTAAAACGGTGTCGCGATGTCGGTTCAAAGTTCCTACCTCCTCAGCTGCAGGTACCAAGCTGGACCCGTAGGCTTAGGGTGGACAATCGTGACAGGTTCAAGAATTGCCAGCTTTCGATGATCAAAGTCAGAGATGTCGGACCCTTTCAATTTCAGCAACACCTGTGAAATCTTGTTTCTCAGGCTTCTACCAACATGATCTGATAATTGGAAAAGAACATCAAACAATCCTGGGTGGAATAAAGACCAAGATGAGAAAACTATCAAGTTTCGAGTCCAGCTGTGCGCCAGGCCAACTCACTGCTGACAAGGTGAACAACCGAACCAGAACCTCGTGGCAAAATCGTCCACAGTTGCCAGTTGATCTGCGGGCGCGCGAATGTTTTTCGAGCACCACGGGCGCCGCAACTTACAGGACCCGAGGGATGAATTCTGGCCCTGACTTGGATGTAGGCGTCCAAACAATTGCGCTATGCTTCCTGACAGGGCAGCTTGGGCTGGCTGGCTGAGCTGCCAGCCAAGCCATGCACGGGCCACATCGGATGCTGGCATCAAAAAGTGATAAATGGTTTTCTGCGCTTCTTGTTTTGGGCGCTTTGGGATGCAGATTCTGAAGGAACACTTCAAGAAGATTGGAAAATGGTTCAAGGAAACCAACAAGTTCTAGCGGCGTTCAAGCTGGGACACAGAGGACACGCGTCACCGTTGATTTTTTCGGAGCTTCCTGTGCAAGGCGTTGGGTTGATGGATGTGGCCAATTTTTTCACGGCGGCAATGAACTTGTATGAAGCGCAGGCATGATCGGCGCGAAGGTTAGTCTAGCTGTTTTGCCTGTAGCAATGAATTTGCTCGCGAGCCGGTGGAGCCGGCGGGCAGAAGATTCAAAAATTCAAGGCGAGACATATTTATTCTGTCTTTTCTTCTCTTTTCCTCGTCTTGCTGTGTGTTATCTGTTTTCCGTTTTTGGTTTTTCTTCTTTCTCTCTCGTCTTTTATGGGTCATTCAGATGTTTTCTTCTTTTCTTTTCTTCCTTCCTTTCTTCGTTCTTTCCCTGTTTTTTCACTAAAAGCACGTTGTCTTCTGTTGTGGCTTTCTTTTGTTTAGTTCGTTTGTTTCTTTCTCTCTTCCTTTCGTTTCTTCGTTTCTTGCTTCTTGCTTTCTTCCTTTCTTTCTTTCTTCCTTCCTTCCTTTCTTTTTTTCTTTCTTTCTTTTCCTCCTTTTTCCTTTCTTTCTGTCTTTCTTCCTTTTTTTTCTTTCGCTCCTTTCTTTCTTTCTTTCTTTCTTCCTTTCTGTGCTTTGTTCCTTCCTTCTTTCCTTCTTTCATCCATTCCTCCTGTCCTTCTTTCCTTTTTTCCTTATTTCCTGCTTTCCTTCTTTCCCTCTTTCCTTCTTTCCTTCTTTCCTTCGTTTCTGCTTTACTTCTTTCTTTGTTTCTTTTTCTTTCTGTGTACTTGTCTGTTTGTCTCAGCTAGCTATCTTCCTAGCTAGCTAGCTACCTAGTCAATCAGTTCTATCTCAATCTATCCTTGCAAAAGGGCTGCGCCCGCGCCGGTGCGATTTCTTTAAGCTATGTATCATTTATCGATCTATCTATCAATCTATCTATCTATCTGTCTCCTATCTAAGCTATCTCTCTATCTACCGTTTTGTTCATCTACACCCCTATCTCCCTCTCTGTCTCTTGCCCTTTCGAAACTGCTGCGCCTTCCACGTAATCTGCGAAAGTGCTGAGCATGCCGCGAAATCCGCGCGTGACAATGCGGAAGTGCTGTGGAGGCCATGCAAAATTGATGTTGCAAAAAAACGCGCGCGCCCGTGCAAATGGGGTTGTTGGAAACTGGAGCCCTGGCCAGCGTCCAAGTGAATATATGGGAAGGAAGCAGTGAATTACAAATATGTTAGGATGTATGTCTACCTGGCATTTCGGAGCTTCAGCCAGCACATGATAAAGTCCAGTCGGGCCAGGCAGCTTGGGTAAACCTAGTCGAAGTGGGTACTTCGGCTTCGAATTCAGAGGCTTACGGCCGGGCACAGAGTCAACTGCGGCATTGGCTTTATCGGGATCTGACGGAAGCCAAATGTTTGAAGGTTTCTGTTTTAACTGGCTAGCGCTTGGGAGCTTCGAATTTCCACAAGCAAAAGAGTAAAGGGTTTCTATTTGGGGTGCAAGGAGTAGTTCTAGCTGGGTCTGTGGCCAAAGCCCACGGGGCTCACCGTCCAATTGCGTAATGGTGCGGGTTGGACTCTCTTAGTTTTTCCTGGGCCCAAATTTGGGCGGCCCAAAGTATCGGGACCCTGAGAAATATGGTTTTCAAAACGCCAGGCTCCGGTGCAACCCGGACCCATGCGCGAGGCTGGCCAGTCCGACCCCCCGCCGAATAGCAACCTTGTTTTGGCAATTTTACACTGAGGGGTTCTTACAGTAAGAGGTAAGGCTAGATTAGATCGAGGGTTCGCGCTCAAAATGTTGGCCCTGCACGTAAAAAAATGTTTTTGATGTGACCGTTTCGCGCGAAATGTGGGTTCGCACGGCGCGCTCTCGCTGTGGCGCCGTGCTGGTTTGTTGGCTTACGCTGACAGGGGCAACGCAATAAAAGCGCATATTTTTTCTTCAGGAAGCCTCGCGCGAGGCGGTTTTTAAAGCAAAGTGCCTGTTTGCTGGCAGGGCTCGGAAGCGCGGAGGTTCGCGCTACGACGCGGGATGTGTTTCTTAGGCAACCTCGGTCCAAGGTACGTTTTTGACGGCAGGGGCCGCTATGCGGTGGATTTCGCCTTGTCGGGTCAGGCTACGATGCTTGGACAATCGGAGCTCTAAGACCATGGCAGTTGTTGCAAAAAGTTGTCTTGCGTGCGACAGCTTCGCATGAAAAGGACCTTTCTTCAAAACTGTGCTCTGGCCGCGGCGCCGTGCCGATCTTTGATTTGTGTGTTGATGGCAGGGTTCCAGGCATGCGCTATTTTTGGTGGGCGCAGCATGTTTTGCGCTGATGCTGTGAATTGCGGGGCAAGCGCAGCATTTTCAGCAACAGGCTCCGTGACTTTCGTTGCAAGCGCGGGGTTTCGCTCATTTGCAAGCGTTGCAAGACGAAAGTGAACCCTCTGCAGGGATCGTTCGAGTCGAAGCGCTCTTGAGCTCGGCGAACTCTCTACGCAGGTCGCGCGTGTCAAAGCTCGGCGAACCCTCTGCGGAGATTTTGCGTGTCAAAGAGCTCTCGCTGTCGCGAGATTTATTGCTTCCGCAATCGTGGAACCAATACATCTCTGGGACTGCCGCATAACACAAGAGCTGAGTTGCGAAAACCAAAGCTGAAACTAGCTTTTGAATAGAACAATGAAATTCAATCAGAAAGCGGAAGAAAGCAGACGTTTCCTCCTAAAAATCTATTGAAGAAGCGAGCGATTTGAGATCTTTTGCTTCCAGGTACCTTGTAAGGTTCCATTTAAAAAGCGTTGCGGAAGCAATAAACCTACGGGGTCTGACTGTCCGATGTCCGAGACCTTAGAAGGCGACGCCGTGCAAATGCATCTTGAGCTCGGCGAACCCTCTGCGGAGATCGTGCGTGTCGAAGCGTGCGATTGTGTCTCATGCTTGGCAAGCCCTCTCTGGAGATCGGGCAGAGCAGGCCGAAAAGCGCAATCTCCGCAGAGGGTTCGCCGAAGTCAAGACAAATTCGCGCAGCACCACAGCGAGAGCGCTCGGACACGCACGATCTCCACAGAAGGTTTGCCGAGCTGAAGACACAGTCGCGCGGTGCCACTGTGAGAGCGCTTTGACACCGTGCGATCTTGTTTTGGCTCCGGTGAACCTTTTGTGTGGGAGCGCTCTTGCTTGTCGCGTCTCCAGCTGCAAATTCGCAGCTGTCAAGCGCAAAAGTAGCACGGGAAGCGCGCTCCACCTCGAAATTCGCACGTTTGAATTGCAAAAGTAGTGCGCGAAGTGCGCTCCCGCAGCTCCGGCTGAAAAGTGGCAAGTTTTAAGCGCAAAAGGAGCGCGCGAAGTGCGCGCTCGCAGCTCCAACTGCAGACTCGCAAGTTTCAAGTACAAAAGTAGTGCGCGAAGTGCACACTCGCATCTCCGAGCTTCAAGTACAAAAGTAGTGTGCGAAGCGCTTTCGTTCTCAAAGCTCCGGCTGCCAAATCGCAACTTGTTGTGTGTGGCAGTAGTATGCAGAGCGCGCCCCTGCAGCTCCAGATCGAAATTCGCAAGTCTTAAGCGCAGTAGTTGTACGCGAGCCGCGCTCCCGCAGCTCTGGGTGCAAAGCCGCAACTTCTCCTCAAAATTTGGCGTATAACCTACCGGCAGCTTGAGCTGTGTGCAGGCTGTGGGTCACTGGTTGAGCCAGGGAAATGAAAATGGAAGCACGCGACAGTATAAACCCCGCTGTTCCTTGGGTTTCAAGCGAGACAGTGTTTTTCAGCTAGAATCCCGCAGCGCGCAGTGCGAGGCGGAACTGCGGAAATAGGGATCACCCTGTGCCGTGGTAGAACGGAAGTACCAAATGATAGCGGTTCGAAGAGCTGAGGCAAAAGTTTGGACAGGGAAAGCATGACAGTGGTCCGTGAAGCTTGGTTCAACAGTTGGATTTCTGGGACATTTCAAACGCTCAACCTGCCCGTCTGCTTTGCGGCCGGAGGAGAGAGGTCTTTGCCACCTTGACAAGTCTGGCAGACATTCACAGCTTGAGTGGAACTCAAGATGTCCATGTGCTATATCAACGACAGAGACTTGAATGGCGGCCTACTTATATGTGATCGGCGGTTCGTTTAGATGATCGCGTTGCAGCGCCCTACAGGCCGGCTTTCAATGAGGATGAGGTCCGTCGAGCGCGCCTGTGGCGTTATGGTGACTGCGAGCGTTGCCAAGAAACACAAAGCCACTCAAGCAACAAAAGCGCACGTTTGTCCGTATCTTGATTTTACAGGGGGCCCAGCCCAATGCATCTGACAAGCGGTGGAACCCACCTGGATTGGCTTCAGTCTTCCAGGAGCAACAGTTGTAATTAGCGCAACTCCGAAGGCTTTTGAAGTTCTGCCTTGTGTAAGTGCTGTTTTGCATGCTTTTCGGTGGCTGCGGGACCTGAGTGTCTGATGCTGAGTCCAACATGTGAACTTCACGTGAACCCCAGACACGAGTCAAATGCGCTTGGTTATAGGGCTTTAGTATTTAAATTTTAGATGAAGTCAATGGACTCTAACTTATTTAGGCCTTTTTTGTTGCCTGTTTGATGTGAAGTGTCTTCTTGAGTCTCACGTTTGTAGTTACGCGTGAGTTAAATATGTTAGATTATCATATCCCCGTTCACGACCACGTTTTGGTAGTGTTTGTAGCTCTCAGGAGGCCCTCGCAAATTTCGAATGCTTCAAAAGATAGCTTTTTGGTGTCCGCCAAGAAAAGCCCACCTGTTTGACACATTTTCAGTTGCACCGGGGCCTCTGGGACAGGCGTCGGCAGCGGCTCTGGCCCCGGTGGTGGCTGCGAGCGGCCCTGCGCCTGGGGAGCTGCTCATCAACCACGCGCCCTCGTCGGCGCTGAT